GTGCCAACGACTGGCGGCAGAGCTGCTCTCGTCGCTGCCGCCCAGCCACGTGCGCAGCAACCTGCTGGAGGGCGCCTTGTCCACGAGCGTGCGCTCCTCGACGGACGCGTCGAGGGAACCGCGCCCTCTCGGGGCAATGCACCTCCGAGAAACGGCGGAATCGCCTCTCCAAGTTGCCCGTGCTCTTTTTCCATACAAGGAAGAGCTCCACGAGGCGACGGCCGCTGGGGAGCTCGGGCCACTCCACCGCAGCGCGGCCCCAAGCCTGCCGCGCGGCGCCCCCGTTTCGATGATGGTGCTCCTCGGCACGGGGCAACATTTGCCGCAGCTGGGAGATTGCCTTTTGCTCGGGGAGGTCCGCCGCCTGGCAGATGCGCTTCAGACAGGCCTCGGCTTCTGTTGCATGCTCTGCTACTACTACTACGACTACTACTACTACGACTACTACTACGAAGGCAAGCGAAAGGCTGTAAAGGCGTGCAACCAAGAATGCTCTGGCCGACATAGCTTCATGTCCTCCCTCACATTGGCCACGATCCCCTGCGCTCGTCGAAGCGCCGCGTGGACGGCTTCGCGGGCTCGGGGCCCCGCGCTCCAATCGCCGATGCCAACGGTCTGGGCGCCAGTGCCGCACATGAGCCGCTTCGTGGCCTTCAGACACTTGAGGGTGACGCCAGTAAACGTGTCGGGGATGGCCAGAATATTCCCCTTGACGAGCAATGCATGGCCCTGGATTGAAGGATTGAACGCTGGCAGCGTCGGGGTTGCTCTTGTCTCCGGCGGCGACCCAGGAGTAGTGCTCCGCGCTCAAGTCGGCCAGCAACCCCCCCAGGAGCAGGCGCGAACTGTTCTCGCCCCCGAGCCCTGCCAGAATATGTCGGGCGAGAACGCGCCGATCTCTGTCATTCCCCTGGGACTCCGCTCCGCGCGCCTCGAAAATGACTTCCCAACGCCGCCTTTCCCGTGCATAGGGCCTCGCCCGACTGTTGAAACGCTGGGGGGCCCAGCCGAAGCTTTTGACGAACGCAGCGCCGTCTTCCACCGGCTGCTGCTTCCCGAGTGTGTTGCGGAACACGGTGGAGGTAGTCAGGAACTTGGCCAGACTTGGCGGCTTCTTGCCCGTTACCAGCAGCTCGTCCGTGGTCGTTATTTCGCTGTCTCCTTTCGTCGAATTGGCCGGAACCTTCTGGGGCGAGTGAGACTCGCCCCACGCGCGAAACGCCAGCCCAGGGAACATAGTTGTTGCAGCCAGGGGTACACTTTGATCCGCCCCATCGCTGCGCAATGCCCGAGTCTCCTGTCGCACATGCTTGCGCAAGTCCCCGTCCACCTCCCCGCCTGCCGTCTGGCACGCGCGACGGACGCGCTCCTCCAGCATGGAAGCCTTGCCGTCGCAGTCCATGCCCCGCGGGAACTCCCGCATCCCGATCGCCCGATCCACGATCCAGGGCCCTCTGGGGCCCAGCTGTTCCAGCCGGCCTGCCTTGAGACCGTAGCTTGGGAGGAAGTCCAAAGCCTTCGGGATCGACCGCAGCGCGGTGCCAATTTCGACCTGGTACGCGCGGTCGAGGCCGTCCGCAGCCAAACGAAAAACAGCACCATGTCTGAGGATCCTCTGCGTGATGATCTTCTCGTGCTGAGCCATGGTGGTCACCAGCCTTCGGCGCTGCCGACTAGACCCCAAAACTTGGCGGTCGCCCCCAACGAACGCATCCCGCCACACTCCGAAACTACTGAAGGGACCGGTTGTCTCCAACATTGCACGGGCGGCGACCACTGCGCGGCAACCAGGGCGCTGGTCGGCGTTGCGGACGACGGCGGGCGCAGGCGCCACGGCGGTTGCAGCTGCTGCAGCTGATGCAGCCGTTGTGGAGAACACAGACACGGGGAGACCCTGGCGCGCACCTTCCGCTCGAATCCGCTCTTTCCACGCCGCTTCTGCTGCCTGGTGCTCCTCGCACTGCGCATGGCGCGCGAGGTTTTCCTTGCGTTGGAAACTCGCGGATCCCTGGCCTATGGTGGAAATGCAGCGAGCGCCCTTGAACGCCGAGCAGAACGAGCAGACTGCAAATCTACCACCAACGCAGCCTATCCAAGTTTCACTCTTCAGTGTTACTGGATTCGTCGCAGACATCGAGGCGCGCCAGTTCTCCTTGTTCTTCCAAAATTTGCAAGCGCCGCAGGTGGAAACGTGCTTTGGGTCGTCGTGGCTGGCGACGTGCTCCTCCAGGGTCATGGACAACGAAGGCGGGAACTTCTCGACTACGTTGCTCGGGGCGGCCTTCGCCTTCGCTCTTGCAGCCGCGGCTGCCTCGCTGCTGGAGCCGCTGTCCTCTTCGGAGCCGCCTTCGGAGCCGCTGTCGGAGCCGCTGTCCTCTTCGGAGCCCGCTGCGTCGGCAGCGGCCACGGCAGCTGTTGCAGCTGCCACGGCCGATTCTGCGTCCGAGCTGTTGCAGCTGCCACGGCTTGGCGAAGCTGCCCTCGACGCGGCCGCAGGGCTCGTGCTCGGGCTCGGCGAAGCTGCTGCCCTCGAAGAAGAAGCAGGGCTCGGCGAAACTGCCCTTGAAGAAGAAGAAGCAGGGCTCGGCGAAGCAGCTGCCCTCGAAGAAGAAGCATGGCTCGGCGAAGCTGCCCTGGAAAAGAGAGGGGACGACGAGGCTGGAGGGCTCGGGGACACCGCCCCAGCGGACGACGACATTATTATTTTGAGCCAAGTCCTACGGACCGAAATGGTGACGATGGTGATGGTGATGGCGATGCTGATGGTATGGATGGTGAAGATGATGATGATGATGGTGATGGTGATGATGGTATGGTGAGGGCGGCTGTGACGGTGATGATGGTGATGGTGAGGATGGTGATTCTGGATGTGATGCGCACCACCATCATCACCATCACCATCGCCACCACCATCAGCACTACGATTTGATAACCACCTTCATTACAACCGTCGTCGGCATCAAAAACCATCAAAAAACCTAAAAACACTCAACCGACTCAACCTCAATTCGCCCTAAATCAAGCCAGCTACTACTACTACTACTACTACTACTACTACTACCACTACTACTACTACTACTACTACTACTACTACTACTACTACTGCTACTACTACTACCTACTACTATTATTACTCCTACTACCACTACTACTACTACTACTACTACCAGTATGGATATAACTACTAGAGCTGCTGCTACTACTACTACTACAACTACGACCACGACTGGTACTAGTACAACTACGACTACAACTAATAATACTACAACCACAGCTAATACTGATACTGATGATGCTACTTTTACAAATACTAACACTACGGCGACGACTCCTACTACTACGACGACTACTCCTACCATGGCTACTAGTACGAGTGCTTTTCGACTATTACTACTACTGCTACGATTACTACTACAACAACAACAACTACTACTACTAATAATAATACTGCTACTGCTACTACTACTATTGCGACGACTACGGCTACGACTACGACTACGACTACGACTACGACTACGACTACGACTACTACTACTACTACTACTACTGCTACTACTACCACGACTACGACTACTACTACAACTGCTACTATTACTACTGCTACTGCTACTGCTACTACTACGACTTCTATATCTACTACAGCTACTACCACCACCACACCGACTACGACTACGACTACGACTACGACTACGACTACGACTACGACTACGACTACGACGACTACTACTACTACTACTACTACTACTACTACTACTACGACCCCGCCTACGACGACTACTACTACTACTACTACTACTACTACTACTACGACTACTCCTACCATCACTGCCACTGCCACCCCTCCTCCTACTACTACTACTACTACTGCTACTACTACTACTACTACGACTACTACTGCTACTACTACTACTACTACAATGCGACTGCTACTACTACGACTACTACTACGACTACCACTACTACAACTACTACTACTACGACAACTACTACAACTACTACAACTACTAAAACTACTACTACTACTACTACTACGACTACTACTACTACTACTACTAATACTACTACTCCTATTACTACTACTACTACTACTACTACTACTACTACGACTACGACGACGACTACTACTACTACTACTGCTACTACTACTACTACTACTACTACTACTACTACCACTACGACTACGACTACGACTACGACTGCTACCTCTACTACTTCTACGACTACCACTACTACTACGACTACGACTACGACGACTACGACTACTACGACTACTACTACTACTACTACTACTACTACTACTTCTACTACTACTACTACTACAACCACTACAATACGACTACTACGACTACTACTACGACTACTACTAGAGATGAAACTACTAATGCCACTACTACAACAACAACTACTACTACTACTAATACTAATACTAATACTAATACTACTGTTATTGCTACTGCTACAGCTACTGCTGCTGCTACTACTCCTACTCCTACTACTACTACTACTACTACTACGACTACGACTACGACGACTACTACTACTACTTATTATTATTCTTCTTCTTCTTCTACTACTACTACTACTACTACGACTACTACTACGACTACTACTACTACTACTACTACTACGACTACGACTACGACTACGACTACGACTACGACTACGACTACGACTACGACTACTACTACTACTACTACTACTACTACTACTACTACTACTACTACTACTACTACTACTACTACTACTACTACTACTACGAGTCTCCCGATACGCAGGGCTTCTGCGTTTAAAAGTTTATCGTGGGTGCTTGGACCGCAGTGGCTGTTGTTGTCTGGACCGCTATGGCCCTATGCCAGACTCGGGACCACGCACGGGGGATCGCGCACAGACTTGACTCCACACTAGGGGTACCGCACCCCTCCTCCTCCACCGCCCCCCCGCTCCCCCTCGCTCTCCCCCGCTCCCCCATCGCTCTCCCTCCGCGCCGATTGCAGCTCTTTCCTTCCTGGCCGAGCACCACTGGGCGTCCTCCCGAGACAACCTACGCGGGGAAGAAGCCCAGGCATCGGACCGAGGGGCGAAGTGGGCGGGGGCCTTGGGGGGAGCTCCGAGCAGAAGGAGCGTGAGCAGGAGCAGGGGAGGGGAAGTGAGGGGCAGCCTTGGGGTGGGACTGTCTCAGGGGGGGAGGCACCGAGCTGGAATCGGCGACGCGTCGCCGACAGATCGGCGATGGGCCCCCCGATGACGAAACACCACGTGCCTGGGCGGGGTGGGCCATCGGGCCCCTGTCGGCGATCAATGGGCGATATGGGGGTCGACGCATCCACCTCTGAGCCGATCTCCCGACGCTGCCCCCGAACACGGGCAGCGCAGCGTGGCGCGCAGAAGCTGCCCAGCCAACGGCGGCAGCACGAAGGCTTGTCGGGCCGCGGCGCGCGCCCGTGGCCAGCACAAGGGCGAGGGCTCTGAATACGACGCGGGAGGGCTCCGCCAGAGATGTAGCCGGCAGGAGATGAGGACCGGCATAGAGCGCGATCCTTTATTTTCGGCGATTACGGGCATTATAGGGGGGCGGGGGGGGGAGGGGCCAGGGGGGTATAACGTAACGCCTCCCCTCCGCCGTGCGCACGGCGGCAGTGCCCGGGGCGCACTGGGGGGGGGGGGGGGCGTTACGTTATAGGTTATAGGGCGGGGGGGAGGAGGGGCAGGGGGGCTATAATGCCCATTATGCCCCAAGCAATAATAAAGAACACGCTCATATCCAGTCTGGAAGCCCGAAACTCACGCGCAGCGAGCAAATCCATGTCCACGCCTCCGCGGTCTGCACTCCGAGGCGCGATCCCGTGGGCACGCGGTCGCAAGGACACGCCCCGCGCGGGGCATCCGTAAGAGAAAGCGCCTCGCATCCGTGGGTGGTGGGCTTGTGTTCTCCACCGCCCCCACCAACATAAAAAGCAGGAGGTGGAGGGGGTCCTCCTCTTCTTCCTCCTTTTCCTCATCCTCCACCTCCTTCCCCCCTCCAACTTATGGCGCTGGTGTGAGGTCTAGCATGTCCCCCTACAGACGGATTTTGGACGAAAAAGGGAATGCTCGAAACATGCCCCCCAAATACTCCAAAAACTAATCGAACAATCGCCCCCTGACTAGTTCTGCTGCCTATTCTGGGATGCCCCCCCGTAGCGAGACGGGCCCGACTTGATGCTGGTGGTGGATAGCACAAGCCCAGCACCGGAGTCGCGGCCCTGGGGCCCGACCCGCGGGGCTGTGGATGTACGGAGGCACGGCCTCCGCCCGCGAGGCACGAGGAACGAGGCGACACGGGGCCGCCCTTCCCGCACAGAGGCTTCGGTCGGGCCTGTCCCCCCTACATGGGGGCTCGTGGCGAAAAGCTGAGAAGACTCAAAACATACTCGAACATATGCAACAATTGCCAACAGAAATCGTCCCCGGACTATTCGTTTGACTACTTCTGAATGTTCCTCCTGTAGAGGGACACGCCCGACTCAAACCGAGGTGTGGCCCGCGACTGGCGAGAGCAGAGCAGATGGGGGACGAAGCCTGGCAACGGATGCTGCCTCGACCGGTGGGCCTGTTCTCCACCGCCACCACCAGAAGTAGGAGGGGGAGGGGGTCCTCCTCCTCCTCTTCCTCTCCTCCTCCTCCTCTTCCTCCTCCTCCACCTCATCCTCCACCTCCTTGCCCCATCCAACTCCTCATGGTGGTGGAGGTGGAAAACGGGCCCATCATTGAACCGACGGCGACCGCTTTTTGGGCAGGCGCGTCTCGTCACGAGCGGGCCACGTCCGCGCAGCGGAACCGACAGCGAGCCCCACTCAACATAGGGCGGGGGCTGTTGTCGGCGTGAACCCCGTGCTTCCCCGGCAGGATCAAGCGGGTGGAGAGGGCGGCGCGTCTGGTGTTCCGTCCTCCCCCCACCCTCCTGCTGCCCCTCTGCTTCCATGCCATCGCACGGACGTCCCTTACCCATGCCAGTGTGTCGGTATCGCGAGTGCTATTCTTGCGGATGCCGTGACACTGGGCACCCTAAACGTTCTATCAGTGAATATGGCATCAGGTCCACTATATGATACCTGCTTAGTAACATGTTTGCAGCATGGCTTTGCATGTTACTACAAACGCATGTCAAACATGTTTTAGACATGTGGAAATAATTTTGCAATCTGGCTCCTCTCCACGGATCGTTTCCCACAGTGCCATTTGTTTGGCCAGGTGACCCAGCTGGCTCCTCGATGGTCCTCGCCGAGGCAAAAGTGCACACGTCCGAGCGATACCAAGCTGGTTCGTCTTCCCGCCCGCAGCCCTTCCTCCACACCCTTCCCGCGCCTCGTCTCCGCCGTCGTCGTCCTCGTCGGCGTCGCAGGTCGTGGTCGCGGTGCGTGGTGCGCTGCTCGGTGGTCGTCCTGACCGTGGTCGTGGTCGCCGTGGTCGTCGTGGTGCGTCGTCGCGGTCGTGGTCGTGGGCATCGTCGTCGTGGTTGTTTACTTGCTTCCCACATACAGGTCATCAATGACCACAGCCACCCCGTATCCTCTTGACGCCGCCTCGGTGTGCATCCTGGACAGCAGATCGCAGGCTGGAGCCAGGTCGCATCAAGAGAACCTCAAGGACCAAGAGGAAGATCAAAGAAACCAAAGTAGTCAAGTGGTAAGAGGCAGACATCGCTGATCCAGTACCCGTCGGCCGGAAGAAGTGGGCAGACACATGAAGTAACAAGACGTTGGGGTAGAATGGGTTTTCGCCCGCCCCCTGAAGAGGAAGGAGGAAGGATGACCACCCGACAATTGACGTAGGAAAGCGCCTGACATAGATTTGGATCTGGGAGTCCAGAAATTCAGCCACAACGTCCAGCTCGCTCCGAATACCTCGATGACGTTTCTTTTTTGGAACCGTAACCCCAGATCAAAAGGTTCAGCGAGCGATCGCAAGGCCAACCGCGTGGTCTACTCCTCCTCCTCCTCCTCCTCCTCCTCCTCCTCCTCCTCCTCCTCCTCCTCCCCTTCTTCCTCCTCCTCCTCCTTCCCCTCCCCCTCCTCCTTTTCGTCCTCCTCCTCCTCCTCCTCGTCCTGCGCCTCCTCCTTCTCCTCCTCCTCCTCCTCCTCCTCCTCATTCTCCTCCTCCTGCGCCTCCTCCTCTGGGCAGAAGACGCTGCAAGAGAAGAGCGGCGAAAGGCACGAACTGCAGGCCCGCGCCGCGCCGCGCGCTCACGGGAGGCCGCCCCGCGCATCCCACGGCATCCTCGGCGCGATCCTCCGGGGCTTGCCGCTCTTCGTCTTCTTCTTGGGGTCGACGTCGAGCCGGATTCGCGACTTCGCCAGCGACTCGTCCAATCGGGGCTGGAACTTGCCGTCCTGGGGTGGAGGCCGAGGGGAGGAGGGGGAGAAACGGGGGCTCTTGGGGCCGACGTCGAGCCGGATCCGCGACCCCACCAGCGACTCGTCCCATCGGGGCTGAACCTTGCCGTCCTCGGGCAGAGGCCGAGGGAAGGAGGAGGGGCGCGAGGTGGGATCTTGGGGACGACGTCGGGTCGGATCCGCGACCCCGCCAGCGACTCGTCCCATCGGGGCTGGAATAGGCGGAGGCCGAAGGAACTCGGGGTCGACGTCGGGTCGGATTTGCGCCCTGTCGACCGGCTCCCCCTATCGGGGCTGGAACTTGCCTTGCTTCGGCGGAGGCCGAGAGAAGGAAGGGGAGGGGTGGGCTCCTGGCATCGACGTCGAATTGGTTTCCCGACCCCTCGACCGACTCCCCCCATCGGAACTGGAAGTTGTCGTCCTGAATTGGGGGTCGAAGAAAGGAGGAGCGAGAGGTGGACTCTTGGGATCGACGCCGAGTCTGATTCCGACCTCTCGACCAGCCCCCCCTCATCGGGGCTGGAACTTGCCGTCCTGAGGCGGAGACCGAGGGAAGGAGGGGAGAGAGGTGGGATATGTGGATCGACGTCGAGTCGGATTCCCGACCTCTCGACCGACTCCCCCATCGCGGCTTGAACTTGCCGTCCTAAGTTGGAGGCGAAGGGAAGAAGTGGTAAGAGGTGGGGTGGGCCCTTCGGATCGACGTCGAATCGGGTTCCCGACCTCTCAAATGACTCATCCCATCGGGGCTGAAACTTGCCGCCGTGAGGCTGAATCCGAAGGAGAGGGGGGAGACGTGGGAGGGGGGACACATGCGCGCATTGAGAAGTACAAGCGGTGCGAATGACCTTCTTTTCATGGGGTTCAGCTCTCTCGAATACTCAGATTTGGTGAGCGTCGGCCGCGGGATATCCGCGGAGCGTTTGGGTCATGGTTTGCGACCTGTCTTTGATTGAGTCTCGACGCAAGAAGGCTGACCGCGCGGGTCCCGGCTTGAGGGGCGCCAGCTCATCATCCACCCCGCCCCTTGGCGGGCTCGGAGTTCGCGATTGAAGGGCCTTCGGATGGCCGAGACATTCCAGGGGGCTTCAGGGGGCACAAGTGGCCGCCCAGTGCCACCATGCATCTGGAGAAACATGGGCGGCGGCCAGTGTAGTCCGATAGGTCTCCGGGACGACCCACGAGAAAAAAACTAATATTTGGGTCACGGGGCGAATCCCCCTTGCGATTGTCATTCCTTGTTTGTTTATGTATGGTAGCTAGTGAAGGATACTCGCTGGTTGATGCGCCTGCTGCCTCCAGCAAATGAAACCTGAACCCCCGCGCCCTCCACGTCGACGCTGAGACGGTTTGTTCGCGAACTGGGGCGGACTGATTGCCGAGGCTCAGCGACTTCCGGCGAAGTACCGCGCCGGGCTCGACTGAGAACGCAAACGCGGCAACAACAAAAAACGCATCTGGCCACGCTGCTGGCAGCGCGGCCAAGGGACGCGCTGGCGTTTTCTCTGGGGCCCGCGAATTACCGCGAAACTAAACGGTCAGGCGAAGGCAATGGCACGCATCGCCGACGATTGGAAACGCAAGGCGGGAGGCTGGACATAGCGCGGCAAGAGGAACCGCTGCCGGCCGCGCGGCTGACCGCGCGACCAAGCAAAGGCGCGGTGCTGTTTCGCCAAGGACCGCGAATTACCACGGCATGCATCGCCGCTGACTGGAAGCGCCAAGCGGGGGGCTGGACGCAGCCGCCGCGAGGCCAGCCGCGCGGCAAAACTGCAAACGGCACGAGAAGCCGAACCGCGATGGGCGCCGCGTCTTCTCAGCGCATGGCGACGTGGCCCACGGTCGCCTTGAATGGGGGCCCCCCGGCAACGCTGGCAGCCGCGGCTGACAGATCCGCGCGTCTCCCCGTGCTGGAATTCGCTCGGCGCCAGCGCCCGCTCGGCGCTGCCGCGGCGGGCGGCGGCGCCCGCCCGCCGAACTTTCCCCCGCGTTCACCGCTTGGCCGCGCCCGACGTGGACTCGACCGCGCTCGTGGAGTACACCTGGTATTCGCGATTTCGCCGTCCGAGCAGTTTGCGATTTCGCGCTGAGGCTTCTGGGCATCGGCCAGGACTTCTCCGCGTGAAGCCTCCTGGCGGCGGCGACGGTGACCCCCCGCTCGTCGCTCGCGAAGACGTCGTCCTTCCCGAGAGAAAGCAACCTGGGGCTCTCCACCATCTCGGCCGCGCCGCGGGCGCGGGCGCCCAGGGGTCGGCGGCGTGCTCCAGCGCCCGAAAGATAAGCGCGTGAGGGTTGCCTTGCAGCGCGCCCCCCCAGAGCCCAGTCTGGTCATTCTGCGGCCGCGCGCGCCTGTTCGGCCTTCTCCAATTGCCCTTGCCACGGCGCGTTTCGTCTGCCATGGGCACGCGTTCCTTGGCCGCCGCATTCTTCTGGACTTGCTTGGCGAATGCGGTCTCCGCCGGGCGCTTCTGCCCAAGCGCACGCGTCGCGTTCGTCGAGGGCGTCTTCGCGGGGGCGCTCCGCGAGGCGAAGATGCCGGCGAAGCGAGCGCTCGGGCCCAATCGCACCTGCGCGCCGCGACAAGATTCTACTCTGAATTCATCGCTGGGACTGGGCAGCGACCCACCCCGTTGATCTCTGCCGGCTGCCGGCATGCTGAAATCGCCGAATCAAAGAAACACGCGCGACCGAACGCGCGCCAACGCGTGGCCCCCCGGGCATCGTATCGTCCTCTCTCTTTCTCTGCTCCACTCGTCGTCGCCCCCCGCTCAACTCGTCGCCGTCGTCGTCGGGGGGGGGGGGGGCGGCGGAGCGCGCGGCTTGAGTGCAGGCTCGCTCCGCCTGCCTCTGCCGCATGAATTGATGCACTGCGCTTCGCCTGCGCGCGTCGATAATATGCCGACAATGGCGCGCGATCTGGGGCGCGGGCCAGCGGCCCTCGGGGATCTTCCGACCCGGGTCAAGCCAGACCCGGGTCAGCAGGACACCAAAAACTGCAATGCAAGAAAAAAACTGCAACGCAGGTCTTCGCAAACCCGGGTCAGCCAATATGCGCGGCCGCCTCGCGGCTCGCTAACCCGGGTCAGCCAGGGGGGGTCTTCGCAGGATCCTGCAGGATCCAGCGCCCTGGCTGACCCCCGTTTGCACTGACCCCCGTCTCAAGGCCCCCGACGCCCCCCAGGCGGCGGGCCCCCGGCTGCCCCGCTCGGGCACGACGGGTGTTACGCGCCAGCCGCTCTGATTCAGGACCTGCCGCGCAGCCTGCACGAAGTCCCGCGCCTGGCGGGCGCGGACGCGCAGTTCTATGATAATGTCAAGAAGGAAGGCGAACACCTCTTCGGCTCCACGCGCAGGCGTCCGCGCTCGCCGAGTGACGGCCCAAGAATTGCCCCCCTGACGTTCGCGCCCGAACATCTTCGAGCTGCGCCCAGCCGCGGCGACGAGCCCCCTCTACCCGGCCACCCGCGAACCAGGACACCCGCGCGCGCCGCCGTTATTGCCCATGCTGCTGCGTAGGTAGCATGGGCACTGTGATTTCTGTGGTATGCGATGCCTCGGAGCCTTGGTCAGCAGCTGCTGTGGTTCCACGCCTACCCCACAGTTCGTGCCCAGCCATTTGGCGACGACGTAGCTCCTTGCGTACAAGCAACAGTATGGAAACTCACCTTGGTCCAAAACCTTTCCGCTCTGCATCTGAGATGGCGCGGATACACCATGAGAACCAATGCCAGGGCGTGGGGCATGATTATCAGCGCCACGACGTGGAGCGCGCGATTCAGCGCCATGGAGCATGAGTCGGTGCAAGTGCGTGATGCATGAGCGTCGGCGCCACGGCGTGGAGCGCGAGTATCAACGCCAGGATGTGGAGCATGAGAGTCAGCGCCATGATGTGGAGCGCAAGCATCAAAGCCAGGGCGGGAAGCGCCAACGCCAGCGCCAGGATGTGGAGCATACGCGTCACCGCCAAGGCGTGGAGCATGAGCGTCGGCGCCACGTCGTGCTGCCGCCTCCGCCGCTGTTGTGCCGCGCGCAACCGCCGCGACGATCGCCTCTCGGAGCCCGCTAGCCACCTCCTGCGGCAGCTGGCCCAGCCAAGTTTCCCTCTTCGAGGGCTCCACCTTCGCGAGCTGCCTGGGGGGGCCATGCATGTAATCCTGACGGGCGCGGTCCGGGGGTCCCCTGTTACGTATCCCTGAATGTTTTTCTTGATCCTCAAGGAAAAAACCGAACCACAAAAAATGCGGTCCGAAGGCCGTTTGCGGTCCCCGGCGCTTGTTTTTGCCCTGGACAGGAACAAAAACAAAAGGACCTTAGAATCAACGCCCCCCAAAACCACATGTTCCACAGCCCCGATATCCTCGCGACCGCGCCGCAGAGCGCACGGTGCTTCTAAAGAACCCCGAAAGCTTCTTATAAGCCCCCTAGCGCTTCTTAGAAAAACCCTGTCTTCTACAAAACCTCGCCATTCCACCCGCCCCAGCTGCACGCCGGGTTTTCGCAGTCGGCCACCATGCCTAAAATCGCCGTGGCCAAGCCGCCGAAGGCGAGGGGGAATCCACCATAACCTCCGGCGCCCCCCTGCGAGGCGAGCCTCCGCGGAGGCGAGTGCGATCGAGCGGAGACCGAACAAACTCGCTTGGGCCCCCAAGAAACCTACGGAGGGAGGGGGCGGGAGAGCGTGGTGGGAGCCTTGAGCTCACTCTCTTTTTTTTTTGTCTTCTCGCTTTCGGTAAGGACGCAAGCTCATTCCGACGCAATGCAGGGCGTGCGAATGCAAAAGCAATGCGAGCCCTCTGCAATGCAATGCAATGCGGTTTTACTGCGATGCGATTGGGACACAATTCAACACGATGCAATTGTACGGCGGAGGCCTTGGATGGAGACATCGCCGAAGGGCCGAGGGCGATGGGAAGCTCATGTTTATCCTCGCAACTCTCGATTGGACTCGTCCCACCGTCGATTCGAACTCCACTGGTGGATCGGTCATGGGTATCGCC